AAAATAAAATAATAATAATAAGGATAAATAAAGAGGTAATATGTGTGTGAGTGAGAGTAATTGTGTGTGTTACCTCTGTTTGTAAAGAGTGGCATGGTATTACAGTGATGTATGCAGTCATTTTTGTTATGGTTGTGAGTGGGTGGGTTTTAGATTCCAATTGTGGTGTTGGTATAAATATTATGGTGATGCATTGGTTTCTTTTCTTTTTTTGTTTGGAAGTGTGTTGATTATTGTACAGTCTCTTTGTTTTGCTGATTGTCTGTGGTATTGTTTTTGTATGTTGCCGGGCGTACACACTGTGTTTTTGGTGTATTTTGGTGTTCAAACTGCCTGGTAATGGTTTTATTATAATGAGAATACAGACACACTTTGTGTATGAATACCGAGTAAGATATTGGAGTGTCTGTGTGTAGAGACGTTTATTCAATATTGCTTTGATACCATTTGTTTTCCACTTTTTCTATATTCAAGGTGTTGTTTCAATATCTGTGTAACTCCTGGGTGTGTTTTATTGTGTGAGTGGTTTACTGTTGATCCTCTCATTGGGTTGTGTTTGATTGCTGTTGTGATGTGTATTCTCTTTCTCTCTCTTTTTTTGTGTTGCTGTGTGCCCTCTGCCTTGTGTGTTAAATGTGCGTCTCTTTTCTCCTTTTTCACTCTTTCTTTGTCACCACAGACCCAAGCAACCCACAGTGACATTCATCACAACGATGTTCGTCCAACTGCGTGGTGTGGTGTGCCTGTTGGTACTCCTGCACTGTTGTGTGTGTGTGGTCACCGGAGAGGTGGCCGAGGTAGAACCAGTGGAATGTACGGACGGCGAGTTCATGTACACGGAGAGGTCTTTGAATGGGTCTTTGATGGGGGCAGATGAAATACTAGCCGACGGAAAGACATGTTTGGAAGTGTGGAAAGCCGAGGCGGATGAATGCAATAAAAATGCAGACGGCGTTAGTGCTGATGCGGCTAGCATCGACGAACTTGTGAGACAAATCAAGGAAAAAAAAAAAGAGGAGGTGATGTGCGAGGAGGTGAAGAAGATATTACAACGATACAATGAATCCGTTGAGAAGTCAGCGAAAATTGCGGAATTGACGCGCAATACAAAGGTTGTATGTGAATCCTCTGCTGTCGGTAACTTGCAGAATAGGGTCGAGTCTATCGGAAAGAGATTGGAGGTCTATAGGGGGTACGTTTTTGACGATAGCGATTACACGAAATGCAGGAGGGATTGGAGAACAAGTCGAGTGACGGAAATCGAGGTGAAGTATAAACTGATGAACGACGTCAAAGCACAGATGGACGATGTGCGGGCAAAAACGCAACTTTGCAGGGTAAAGAGTTATGTGCAATCGCCAAATGATGTGATGAAGGGGGCGATTGCGGATTACAATAGGGTGTGCGAGACGGACGTCGATATCAAGTATCTGAAACAGGTTCCCAGTGTTGAGAAGATAACCAAAGACGGGGGGACGGTTCAGAGTACCCCGGATACCAGGACGAAAGTGGTTGGCGCCATAAAGTTTTCAAACGGTACGACTGTGAAGGAGGTACGTGAAGGAGAAATCGACCAAGAAACAGAAGTAAAGAATGAGACGTTCTTGGTGGATGTGAATGGGGGGGCGCCTCGAATTTCGCAGAAGAACATCCAGGAAATCGAGAGGAAGTTCAAGGAATTAAGACCAAAGGTGGGTGAGGAGTTGAAACGGGAGGAGGGAAAAAGATTGGCTGAGGAAAGGATGCGGCTGGAGAGACTGGCCGAAGAAGAAAGAAAGAGACAAGAGAAACTGGCCGAAGAAGATAGAAAGAGACAAGTGAAACTGGTCGAAGAAGAAAGGAAGAAACAAGAAAAACTGGCTGAGGAAGAAAGAAGGAAGCGGGATAAACAGGACGAAGAAGAAAGGAAGAAGCAAGAGAAACTGGCTGAGGAAGAAAAAGCTAAACAGGAGTTGGAAAGAAAGGCAAAGGAAGAGGTGGAACGTGCGAAAAAGGCCAAGAAGAAAGACAGCAGCCTCAGTCCTGCATTGGAGCACAGTCCCTTATTGCTGCTGCTGCTGTCTGTATTGGGTTGCACTCTCGTGTGCTGATCGGTGTTCCCATGACACAGCCGCACAGTTAACAGTCTTTGTTTGAGTGGATATGGATGCATTGTAAGGGCACTGTTCTTTTTATTGAATTTTAATGTTTCTTTTTTTTTTCTCAGTTTGATAAATCTCTTATTTGCATTTTTTTGTTGGACACAACTGTTGGACTCCCTATGTCACTCATCACATGACAAACCATCATTTTGTGAGGGGAGTGTCCTCTTTGTTTGTTGGCATTATTATCTGGGCTCTGTTTTGCCGCCGTTCACTGTGTCCTCCTGGTGATGTGTGTGTTTTCCGTGATATTAATAACTGTTGCTTTTACCCATGGGAATGGGATACAAGCCTGATAATATTGTAATTACTGTGACCGAAGTGTGAAGAATGGCAGGAGGTTCAAGACACACAAACACGCACGCTACCAAACCTCCTTCTCCTTGTGTGTGTGTGTGTGGACTGTCATCATGTGTGCATCTTTCCCACTGCTCGCCCTGTACGAAAGATACACACACACACTGCTGGGAATTGTGTTCTTGCCCCCTGAACATATTCACATGGTGATCACGGCTTTTTCTTTTTTGTTTTGTTTTCATTGTTTTGCTTCTCCCTTGTGTGTTTCATTATAATTGTATTGCACATCATGTGCATCTGTGTGTTTCTCTTTTTTGCGTTTCCAACACACCTTGTGTGTACCTTGTGTGTTCATTTTTATGGAATGATTTTTTTTCCATTATATACAAACTGCTGAACGGATATCAAGAATAAAGATATGGGCACGCCACGTTCCGGTACACAGTGATTTTCCGTTGTTAACCTTGGGGTGGATTGGACTGTGTCCAGGCATCGCAGCCACAGTAAGTAATTAATTTTCTTTTTTTTTCTCTTTTACATCTTTGCTCTATTATTGTGTCTGCCTCACGCAGTCACTTTTTTTACATTTTTATTTTGGTATAAAGATTGGTGGGTTGTAGGTGTTTGGGTGTGCTCCTCTGTTGTGTGTTCCTTTGTGTGTTTGGGTTGGCACTCGCACCGCCCACGTAATAAAAACACATTTCTTTGTTCTCACCTTCTCTCTCGGTGGTGTCACTCACGGCATTGCCACGAACATATTTCTGCCCTTGTGTTGTGTGTGTTGTTTGGTGTGTGGCTTGCTTGAGTGACTGCAGCCTGCGGGGAGATGGACTGAGACTGGTCCGCTTCGGCTTCACGTAATGGGTCTGTTTTTTTCTTTTTTTCTTTTTGGGGTTGAGTTGATGTGCTGGTGTGGGTGAATGTTTTTCTCTGATGGGAGTGGCAGCTGTGATTATTGTATTGTGAGTGCTTTGTGTGTGCTGTTGGTATCCTGTTGTTGTTGTTGTTCTTTTCTTGTGTTTTGCTTTTCCTCTCTGTAGGTGTGTGACTTGGAGTGTATTTTTGGGAATGCGGCAGTGCCTCTCTGATATGAGCATGTGAGACTGTCATTGTGTATGTGTGCACTGTGAGTGGGGAGGATGCCGTTGTGTTTCTGGACCACTCCGCTGCGGTCTCTGTGGGGTGCACTGAATGGCGGCGTGGCGATGTCCACCGACATGTGTGTGAGCGACTGGAGTGGAGGTGTGGCTCCTTTACGTCACTCCATTGCCATGCGGTGCGATTGGGTTCGCACATGAATGGATTAATGAGATTCCCTCTGTCCCGAGTTACTATCTAGCGAAACGACAGTCAAGGGAACGGACTTGAAGGGCTAAGCGGGGAAAGAAAAGACCCTGTTGAGTTTGACTCCAGTCTGGCTCTGTGCGGCGACATCTGAGGTGTAGTATAGGTGGAAGCGCAAGCACAAATGAAATACCACCACTCGGAACGTTGCTTCACTTATCGAATGAAGAGACCAATGGGTTTCGCGTAGTCTGTGGGCT